ATTGTTTCCTTTGTTATAAATATATGGCATAAGGATGGAATCATTGATGAATGACTTCATTATCATGTTAAATATACTGTTAAATTAATGTAAGAAGTCTATAAGGGGTGATATGGGTTATACGGATTCCAATCGGAGCTTGCCGCTCGTCGTGAAGTAGTTGTGACTTGTTGTTGTTATATGGTGTCTTGTTATTGATATTTATAGGTTGCTGGACTTCCCTGGCTGTTGTTGTTGGTATATGGTATTGGAGGAGGCCCTTGTTACAAGGGAGATACTGCCCGAATTTTACGTAGACGAGCTACTAGCTTAAGTTACATACTTAGCCTTTGCTCGACACTGATTTTGAATCTCCTTATGCTATGATAGATCGAGTTGACTTGTTTGAAGAGTTGCTTGGAAGGTATTAAGGACTCAACATGTTTAAGGTATGTTAAGGCACTTCCTTCTTTATTTTGGCATGATCTAAAGTGAAATGAATACGCTATTTCATAATGGATCTACTCCTAGCAACTAAGGTTGTCCATGTTGTTCTTTCCTTATAAAATTATTCTAAGCAAGTGTGTATGATCCTTGAATCCTACTGAGGTTCATATTGAGGGTATGGATGTCCATAATATTAATCGAAGGTGCAATGACATTAAGTCACTCCAAAAGGTTTAGAACATGATTCCATGAGTCTAGCATGCATTATATATAGTATCTATTTTACTCAACCGAGCCGCGCTATAGTCGGCCGGGTACGGCACCTATTGTGCAACCACTGATCAGTTGGGTTTACCGAGCTCCACGTGGCCGGGTACGATTCTACCGAGCCTTGTGATGGCCGGGTATGTTTTTACCGAGTCCTCTTTGAGGCCGGGTACGGTATGATGATGATAATGCCCACAGAGGCGTATGTTTTTAAAAGTTTATGTATATATATGTATTATGTATTTCATGTCAGTAGCCCCAGAGGTACTCAGATGTTACAGGTTGTATCTCATCTATCTCTCTTTACATTACTGTTCTTGTTTATGTTTTCCTGCTTTACATACTCGGTACTTTATTCGTACTGACGTCCCTTTTGCCTGGGGACGCTGCGTTTCATGCCCGCAGGTCCCGATAGACAGGTTGATATTCCTCCTAGTAGGCTATCAGCTCAGCGGAAGGTATTGTTGCACTCCACTTGCTCCGGAGTTGTCTATTTGGTCAGTATGATTTGGACATGTATTGATTGGTATGGCGGGGCCCTGTCCCGACCTTTATGATGTGTATGTACTCTTAGAGGCTTGTAGACAGATGTCATGTATATGAAAGATTGTATGGCCTTGTCGGCCTATGTTCATTGTACAAGTGTTCATTTTGGGTCTTATATGACCGTATGTCACATGTATAAGTTTGCATTACATCTTGGGTCGTCCTATGTCAAGTATTCCCTTATGTTTTATTCTGGTTATATCATGACGGCCCTTCCGGCCCATTCACCCATTATGGTATGATAAGAAAGATACGTTACGTTGGTACTCGGTTGGATAAGACAGTGGGTGCCCGTTGCGGCCCTCCGATTTGGGTCGTGAAAAAACCAACGGGAGGACGAAGTCGCAGGAGATTCGGTAGAGGAGATAGAGCTGGTAAAGATGACCAGCAGAAGCCTCAACAGAGGTATAATTCTGCACGAGATAATAAGGGACGTTAAGGAGGACGTGGTAGAGGTGAGTTAACCAGGTTGTCTCTTGCCTGCCCATGGATTCAGCAGCAGTTCGAAAGGTTGCCCTATTCGGGAATCTCCGGATCTATGCTTATTTTCTACTCCCCGAAGCATTTCGTCAATTTAAAGAGTAAAAAGTGCAAACGACATTTCACTAAGATCCTTTGTTATTTTAATGTAGTATAGAATAGATTAATCAATTTAGTAGTATACTTGAATAATCTTCTTTTTTTTTTTTTTAGCGTTTTAGTTTGAAGTCCTACAAATGATATAGAGTTTAGCCGTGGTAAAAAGCTAGTATTGTTTTTCCTTTTACACGAGCCTTTATTGTATTAAAATGATGACTTCCTATTGCAAATAAAATTGTAATCAATCTAATAAGGAAAGATTAACAAATAAAATTCTAGTTGATTTAAAGTTCTAACTTTAGGAAAATTAGAATAAATAGTAATTGAATGTTTATTTCTAAATATAAGGAAGACAACTTAAATTATAATTTTATCTAGTGTAAAGCTGATTTTTTAAGGGTAAAAAAGGCGAACGACATTTCTATAAGGAGCTTCATGCTTTTAATATAGTATAGATAGATATATATAGATTATAGATTTTATAACTCAAACATAACTTTTTAAAAAATATATAAGTCTCTTACAAAAAAAGTACTCTTTGAGATGAAAAACACGCGGAAAAAATATAAGTTCCTAAAAAGATACAAATTATTTTCAAATTTTTCTTCTACTCAAACAATATACTATTCTCTTATCAAAATTACTCTTTGAGATGGAAACATATGCAAAAAATATAAGTTCCTAACAAGATAAAAATTATTTTCAAACTTTTTTCCTACTCAAACAATATATTATTCTCTTATCAATTTGTATAATATTAAAAAATTTACATTTAATAATTAGAATAAATATTTAATTAGCTACAAAATCTCTTACTTTTAATAGTAACAATATATAGAAACGTCTAATTAGAACTATAAGTTTCCTAATAAGTAGAATTGATGTGAATATATTTCCATGTAAGTTGCCGTGACTAGATATTAGGAAAAGAAACGTAATGATTCTATTTCTCCCAATAATATCTACTTTAAAGTTCTTAATATTAGGACTTCTAACCTAATTCAAATAAGGAAATAGTTAACATATAAAATTTTAGTTAATTTTAAAGTCCTAAATATTAGGAAAATAATTAAATTACGATTTTGTCTCATGTAAAATTTATTTTTAAAGAGTAAAAAAGGCGAACGACATTTCACTAAGGTCCTTCGTGCTTTTAATATAGTATAGATATAAATATTTGTCGTCAAACAATGCATTCGTTACATTCATTTCGTTGTGGTTTTGTAGAAAGGACCCCGGGGTGTCAAATGGGCGGGGTGGGTTAATTTTGGTGGGTTAAGATAGGTGAGTCAATAAATGGGTGGGTTATTGACCCATCTAAAAGTTACTTGGGTTAAGATGAGTTGGATCTAGGGGTGTAAATAGTCAGTTCGGCCGGTTATTTTGTAAAATTCGTACCACACCAATTTTTCGGTTATACTATTATGTATAACCAAAATTGGACTTTTCGAAACCGTCCCAATCATATCGGTTTCTCTTCAGTATCGGTACGGTTCGGTTAATTTTCGATATTTTTTTTAAAAATGTCATGTAAAAGTCACTAGTAGGAGTAGAATACAATAAGATACGTACTTTTATAAGACAGCAAAACTTTCTTGACATTTTTACATTTGAAAGAGTGATGAATTAAGAAAATATGAAAGATGGCTAGAGTATAGATCAATCAACTATTCTACAAAGGCGTAAAAGAATTAAACTAAGCAAATTAATAAAAAAAAAAATCACACGAGTGGAAAGATATTAACCAAGCTGGGATTGAGACTCAAGCGTAAAGTCTTTAGAAGAATTGAGTATTCAAAAAGATAAATCAAATCATACCAAAGGAAACATATTCAATACATTGTAGTTTGCTACTCATAATCGCTACAATACCTTATGTCTTAATTTGCTAGTGAATATATATGTGGGAAATAATTTAGTTTCAATAGGAGTAGCATATTAGAATTTTGAGTTTAATTACTTGTTGGCTTGTAACTGTTTTCACAATTCCAAGACCAAGGAATATTTAATGCTTTATTATTTTTAAAATTAATATATAAATATATTTTTCACATGTAAATTTATTCGGCATGGTTCGGTATTTTTTCAGTTTATTTTCATAAAATAAAAAATTTGCCCTAATTATCGATACGATTATAGATTTATATAAAAACTTGCGGTTTTATTAAAAGAAACCTAAAGTTCGATTTGGTACGGTACTGTTCGGTCGGTTTAGTCGGTTTTTAAATATTCATTAACACCCCTAATTGGATCGATGACTGCCTAAGATTTATTTGGCTAAAATGGGTTATATTAAAATATGCTAGAACTTGGGTCAAAATTTGGATGACAGGTTCAAATGAAGGAATAACGTGAGCAAAGCATTGGTAACAATATGAACATCAAATAAAAGCAGGCAATATGACATCTATGTATGTTGAGAATCTCGATTTTATTCCCCTTAATTTCTTCTTAAAAAGGTAAAACCTAAAATTATTAATTATTTAAAAACTATATATGAAATAATTGATATAGTAAAAGTAATCTATTAGCCATAAACTCAAAAAAAAAGGTGGTACTAAGATCCTGTTTAAGAAACTTAGGATATTTATATATTAGAAAAATACTCTAGTTGTCAAGTGCCGAGAAGAATAATTAAGTGCTTTCACCTAAAAATATGTTAATTAAAGAGAATAATCATTTGAAGGATGCATATGATGTAACTCTTCGTTGATGTGCATACAGAAATAGGATTATATCCTATATCATGCGTGGAAGTAGAATAGATAGATATAGACATAGATATATAGATATAAATGATCAAAGAACTGTGTATTAATATAGGGACATATGTGAGATTTATTGAATTTATTGTTTAAGATGACTATAATTTGTATTAGAAAAGAACTAATTTCGTTGGAATTTTTTGTTAAAGTGTACAGGTTAGCTTTGCAAGTCGTAGCAACGATAAACAACATTTTAGTGCTAAGGAAATCTAGCTTTCCTAAAAGAAGGGAAGAAATAAAATCTTTCGTGGACCCATATGGAATAATAGGTACTACTAGTATCTCTGTCGCTCTGAATCTCTAGCCGAATTGAAATAGGAATTGGACTGGAAAACTTGCGTCCCAAGAAATCCGCCGATAAATATCCCACAACCCCAAAAACTTGCGCCCCAAGAAATCCGCCGATAAATACTCCCACAAAACCCTATTTCACACTCAAAACTCGGCCCCCAAATTTCCGAGTAATATACATTAGGGTTTGGAGATTCCAAAAGAGAAATTAAAGATGTCTTCCACCGGCGAACTCGCTTGCACTTATGCTTGTTTGATCCTTCACGATGATGGCATTCCTGTTACTGTAATTATTAACTCTTCTCCTCCTCTCATAATACTTTTTCTTCAAGTTTTTTCTTCTTTTTTTTTTTTGTCAAAAAATTTCGTCTCATAATATCTCTTTCTGTCATATTACTCTTTCTTCAAGTTTTTCTTTTCTTTTTTGCCAAAATTTTTCGCCTCATAATATATGCTTTTGTTGAATTCTCTTTCTGTCATAATCTCTTCCTTCTATTTTTTATTTTTGGTTCAAAAGGCTACTTCTCTAATAAATAGCTGCTTTATTGTGAGAAATCTTAATGTTTAAAGAGATTTTTCTATTTATGATTTTTTTTTCAAAGGAAAAAGTTGAACTAAATTTAGTGTACCTTTTGTACTGTATCAGGCAGAGAAAATTGGCACACTGGTGAAAGCTGCAAACTTGAAGGTGGAATCATATTGGCCCAGCCTTTTTGCAAAGCTATGTCAGAAGATGAATGTGGATGATCTTGTCATGAACGTTGGCGCTGGTGGAGCCACCGCTTCTACCGTTGCTGTTGCTGCTGCTCCTCCTACTACTACCGGTGACGACACTGCAATCGCACCTTCCGCCAGTGACAAGAAGAAGGTACGTACTTGTATTTTTATTTATTTATGTTTCCTTTTCATCTTCCCTAATATGAACGTACTATTCTGTCTCAAGTTATTATGTACTGTTTTTCAGATATCAACTTTTACCATTTCATCAAGTTAACCAAGTTTTGTGGTCATAATTATTTTTTATGTGTTGAAACTCCAATGATAAATACTTTATGCTTATAATGATTTATTTCCTTTTCTATTAAGTTACATGACGAAAATCCCCCTTTTATGGGTCAATGCAATCAACGTAATAAATTGGAAAAATATATTTTCAAGCATAAAATTTTATGTAATGGTCAGCTAGAGAATTTATATAATCAAACCCAACTTAATGAGACTAAGTATATGTATTAATTGACTCTCGAAAAGTGAGATTGAGCAGGTTGTATGTGTTTTTTTTTTTAAAATCATAAGGTTGGGTTTTGACTCGTTTTTCTTTTCTATTTTCTGTTAACCTAAGCTGAATTTTTTCTTCTTTGTAAATTACAGGAGGAAAAGGAAGAGAGTGATGATGAGTTGATGTTTAGCTTGTTTGACTAGAGTCGCGGAATGGGATAATTCTAAGCATGTTGATCTGTTTTGGGCCTTTTAGGTTTTGTCTCGAATTATGATGGAATAATATTGAGTATTGGTACAGAGTGTGAAGTATCGAATTCTTTTATTACATACAATTCCTAATATTTTGCTTATTTCCTTGTAAATTAAATTTTCGGTACGATTTTTGACCCGTTATAGTATCCAAAGTAAATCCCATCTAAAAAGTCTTAAATGTATCTCAAAGCAGGATAGAAGCATCAAAGGGATCAGTCTAACCCAATCTGAGCACAAATTAATCGCTCAATAAAACTGTATGGGGGTAACATTGATTTATAACAAATGGTGGAATAATAACATAACACGTGACACCGTCTACCAAAAAAAAAAAAAAATACACAAATGACAGGTCAGGTAACAAACAATACCGGATACAACAATTGCAATCCACATCGGGTAAATCCCGAGGAAGCGTAGTCAACGGGAGACGGCCAAGGAGTTTTCCATCAGATAACATTTAATAAGGGAATCTTTAACATTAAACAAGCGACCGTTACAGTAAATATTTGCATTCATGGCCTGTCGTTACATGTTCATCAATGGCTCTTTAACTATTATTTAATAGGAGTTTGATTCTAGGATCTTGTTTCTCTAGGGAATGCTATAAATAGCAGGCTCATCGGTCATTGTAAAGACACGAAATACTTTCTGCATACTAAAGCTTTATTTTATTACATTTGCTCTCCATTTAAGAACTTTACTTAAACTTCGTCGTTATTCTCATTCTTGCTCTCGGAGACATTACATTCGGATCTAGGCTTGCCATCTTATTCAATCTCAATTGCTAATCTTAATATTATCCTATCTGTTTTATTATTTTTGGATCAAATCAATTCGCTTGTCTATTAACCACGTAATAAATTCAATTGTACCGTTTTGCGAGTAAACAGTATGGCACCCACTGAGGGGCATAGACAGCTGCGTAATTGCTTTGATTCATTCGACTATTACTAACTTGTTTTGATTTTTGTATACGGCAAAATCGGAGGGTCCAATTTCCCATCATTAAATCATTTCGAAAGATCGCCTCGAGGCTCCAAAGATAAGCTCGAGTCTTCTTCCTCGGAGCCCATAGGCGCCCAGCCTTGGGAGGATATTGATCGGGGCTAAAATTAAAAATGGGAGTTCCCAAGACGCGGCTAAGTATGTCGCGACTGAGTCTGACAAAGCCTAGCCAGGCTATTCTAAGCCCTACTCGGGGCGTCATTTCCAGCCGTCCCATCTCCATACCTTTACAGCTAATGTATGCCATACCGTATAAGTTTTTCCCTTCTATCTAAAGGGAATTTTTACTATTTTATAGAGCACTGATGTTGCTCCAAAGGCTCTACATGAAATATATGATAACTCTCCCTCTTTCTCTCTAATACACTCTCTCGACATTGTTGTTCTATCTTATTATCTTCATACTTGTTCTATATTTATTGCTTGTTATTGGCCATAAAGAGCCTCTTTTTAATATTATTGCATTTGTTAGCCCTTCCTCGATTCCCCTTGATAGCTCGAGCCCGAGCTCGGGACCCGACCTCGAGGCCCCAAATCGACCAGCTCGAGGCCCCGAACGACTATCTTTCAGCTCGAATACTGCTCAATTTTAGCTCGCGTCTCACCCTTAAACTACACACACATAACATCAACTGCTCCACAATTAGCATAAAAATATATCACGTATTTTTAGAGTCCCATCAACAAATTTTATTGTTATTACCATTTTCACGGTAAACAGTTTGGCGCCCACCGTGGGGCTAAAAATAATAGTGATTATTTTCTTGCTAGTTTCGTTACACAACGCAAGTTATCTTTCACACTTCTTCTTGTCCAAGATCTTCGATTCCAGGTCAAAATGTCTGGCTCAGTGAACAGAGTTGAGAACAATAACCTCGAAAACCACAGAGAGAATGGTGTAGCAGTTCCAATCGTCAGCGCGCCACCACTGAACCCCGATAATGTGCCTGGACCGATTCCAGCGGACGCGGGTTCGTAAGACGCACAGCAGGTCGATGAATCCTCACACACACCGATAGAAGCGTACAGCAAGACGGCCAACAGGAAGCCCAAAAAACCCCAGCTCGGGAAGAATATGAAGTTAGCCTTCATGTTATCTTTGAAATGTTGCAGGCACAACAGCTGGCTATCACCCAGCTGCAAAGCCATCCAAAAACTCCCAGCACCATAGCACCACGAACAACTACCCCGGCCGAACAGGTACCGGAGAGACTGAGCAATAATGGTTCGACAACCGACCCTGCTATCGTAAAAATGCTCGAGGAACTTTCCAGAAGGATCGATTCGGGCGAGAAAATGATAGTTGCCAATGACAAGAAGGTCGAAACTTACAACTCTAGGGTCGACCAAATCTCGAGCGCGCCCCCGGTCCTGAAAGTCATAGACTCGAGGAAGTTCGTGCAGCGGCCATTCCCCGAGCAAACAGCTCCGAAACCCATCCCAAAGAAGTTCAGAATGCCGAAACTCCCGAAGTACAACGGGACCTCAGACCCCAACGAGCACGTTATCGCCTATACGTGCGCAGTAAAAGGCAACGGCATAAAAGACGACGAGATCGAGTCCGTCTTACTGAAGAAGTTCGGGAAAACACTCTCAAAGGGGGCCATGATGTGGTACCATAATCTAGCTCCCAACTCCATACACTCATTTTCCATGCTGGCAGACTCCTTCATAAAGGCACACGCCGGTGCCATCAAAGTAGCAACGAGGAAATCTGACGTATTCAAGACTAGGCAAAGGGAGAACGAAATGCTGCGAGAGTTTGTGTCTCGCTTTCAAATGGAACGAATGGAACTACCCCCGGTCTCCGACGACTGGGCGTTACAGGCCTTCACTCAGGGCCTGAACGAGCAGAGTTTTGTGGCCTCGCAGCAGCTGAAAGAAAATCTGATCGAGTATCCTGTCGTAACCTGGTTGGATGTCCACAACCGATACCAGTCAAAGATCAGGGTCGAGGATGATCAATTGGGAGCCCCTTTGGGCTCAGTATACCCGAACAGGCTCTTAGCAAAGGAGTCGAAGCCAAACAAAAAGAGGTATCAGCCATACACCGAAGACAGGAGAAACACCCCGAGACGCAACCCGCCTCGCAACGACCGACCGGTCAACCGAGGGCAGAACCCCCGAGGGTTCATTAACAGAGCTGGATCTACGGAAACACGGGGCCAACAGGGGCACCACGCCTATTAGAACACAACTTCAACGTTGATGTTTCAGATATCGTGTTCGCCATCGGAAAAATCAGGGATACTAGATGGCCCAAGCCTGTGCAGTCGGATCCTTCCCAAAGGAATCATAACTTGGTATGCGAATTTCACAACACCCATGGCCACAGAACCGAGGATTGTCACTAGCTACGAGAGGAAGTGGCCAGGTTACTCATCAAAGGTCATCTCAGAGAATTCTTGAGTGACCGAGCCAAAAATTAGTTCCGAGAAAGAGAGGCAGCTAAGAAGAATGAAGTAAACGAGCTACGACACGTTATCCACATGATATTAGGGGGGATCGACTCTCCTCAAGAACCCGTGATGAGAAGGACAAAAATATCCATCACTAGAGAAAAGCGAACCCGGGGATACGTACCCGAAGATGCCCTCACATTCAGCAAGGAGGACTCCGAGACCCTGTCTCGACCTCATAACGACGCACTGGTAATCTCTTTCCTCGTAAATACATTTAAGATAAAACGTGTACTCATGGACCCAGGTAGCTCGGCCAACATTATCAGGTCGAAGGTAGTAGAGAAACTCGGATTGCTAGACCGAATCGTGCCCGCTACTCGAGTCCTCAACGGATTTAACATGGCAAGCGAGACAACAAAAGGAGAGATCACTCTCCCGGTCAGCACGGCTGGCGCGACCCAAAATGTCAAATTCCATGTCATCGAAGGAGACATGAGGTACAACGCCTTGTTCGGGCGACCGTGGATACACTGCATGAGAGAGGTACCGTCCACCCTCCACCAGATGATGAAATTCCCAACAAAAGACGGGATTAAAATCGTCCACGGGGAGCAGCACACGGCAAGGGAAATGTTCGCGGTGCACGACGTGGCACCAACGCCAATATTTCCACCTGTCGAGAGAGCCTAAGGAAAATCAAACTACATCTTCAGCTAAGCCCGATTGAACATAGCGGAGTACCGTACCGAGTCCTCACCACAAATAACGGAGGCATACAAGACCTCGGAACATCGTCAAACGCATCCTGCGATAAGGTATAACCATCTCCCTTTTTAGTTTATATTTTATACTAATCCTTTATACAGGCACCCGATCAAAGCGGTCAAATACGCACGCCCAGCCCGAAGACCCTAAGGTTTCAAAGGCATCCGTAGCACTCTTTTCCTTCGATCGAGCTTTTGTCCCGAAGAGGGTTTTGCCGGCAAGGTTTTTAACGAGGCAACACCTATATTCTACCTAAGGGGAATCCAACAGGTCCTCAAGGCTTCTTTTGCTATCAACCACGAGCGCCGAAGGACGCCCCTTCGGAAGATCGTCCGCTCAGGAGAGCCAAGAAATGACAAACAGGAGCCCAATGAGAAAATGATGTACCGGACCAAACGATCGAATGAACCGTGTCCGCACAACCGAGCCCCTGTTGGCGGAGGCACATGTACTAATGTCAAATAATCAAAGAATGCCTTTTGCCAAACATGACTCATGCTCCAAGGAAAAACCAGCGTTTTCGCTAGAACGATTCCTCCATCAGAAAACGTCCCAAATACTCAGAGACTGGCGTCGATAATTTGGCACCCACATGACCTCAGGGTCGAAACACCAGACTAATAATCCCTCAACGAGGCAGCACGGAAATCATTAACTATCTCCAAAAAGAAAGCATCCCGAATACTCGGAGACTGGCGCCAAAGAACTCAGCATACGCACGACCTCAGGGTCGAAATCTCCAAAGTCGTAAGCCCTCAATGAGGTAATCCCGGGCTCACGAGTAACGGCTCTCAAGCCAAAATGAACTCGATGACTTGGAGACTGTCGCCAATCACCATTCAGCAAAAAACCTGAGGCCATAAGACCCCGAGCGGGTAGACTTGATCTTGTAAAACTCACACAAAGCAACGACACAAACTGTA